TCAATAGCAAGAACACATTAATAACCATCATTAACTAACAATATGCAAGGTTCAAAAGCAACATTCCATGGTTCCAACTTTCCAAAAGCAAAATGAAAAAAGGCTCCAACATTTTGAAAACAATAAGAAACAAAATTTCCAACATTCCAAAAGCAAAAGCAAACAAGTTATTTCTTTTTTGTTGATTTTTTGGCTCTTTTCACTGGTTTCGTAGTACTAACCCCAGTGGCTTCGGCGGCTTTGGTTGTGGCTCTTGTCAGTCTGGTAGGTTTGGGAGATGGATCCTCAGCTCTGCTTTCCTCAGCTTCGTCTCCCTCAGATTGGTCATCTTTAGGTACCTCACAAGCTGAACCAGCTTTGGTCTGCTCTTCCTTCCAACCTCCACGCACAATCTTCTCAACAGCTCCTACCGTTTCTGCAAGTCTCTCGATCATGTGGCCTTGTGCGGTCACAGTTCTCTCACATCTGCTCAGCCCCTCAACAATATTAGAGGTAAAACCAGTGAGCCNCATGTGGCCTTGTGCGGTCACAGTTCTCTCACATCTGCTCAGCCCCTCAACAATATTAGAGGTAAAACCAGTGAGCCAACTTTCTATCTCTGCTTTCATGGTCTGCATATCGACGGCAGGGGACTCACGAGCCTTCTTGCGAGGTTCTTCATCGGACTCAATGGGAGAAGGAGATTCTGAACGACCCTTCTTGCTTCTGATCACCTTCTTGCGACTCTTCACTTCACTCGTCTCTGCCTTCAATTGTTGGTACCCGACCTTCACATTTGTCCACTCCTTCGTCCCAGCAACAGGCCAATGAGTTTTGTCCCACTTCCACACCTCCTTAAACATCACCTTCAGTATGTTATCAACCTCCGTATCTTCCACATCACCATCCCAGAGAGGGAACATTTCTTCGTAATCCTTGTATTCGAAGTTGTTAATCCGAGTCTGCATAAAAGATTTAAAATAAGTATCAATTTTTTTTCAAAACAAAGTTGCATATAATGAAGAGGTGGAGACGGATTATCTACCTGTTTCAGAAGATTCTCTCTGACATTTTTCCGTCCTGTGCTGCCTTCGAAGGCAAGGAGAGGTGGATAGTGGTCTTTAATAGATGATACATACCCAGCTGCGTACTCAGGGATAGCAAAGTACACCCAAACTTGAAGAACCTGAACAAACCCTTCAATAGTATACGACTTCGTGATGTCAATCTTCTTCAACAACTTCATCAAGACTTTAAATGCAACTCTTCCCCAGGGATAATCCTCAAAGGCCTCTAAATCCATTACTAACCTAGCCAGGCTAGCCCTCGTGGGTGACGTGGGTCTTGGTGCTTCAATGTATCCGGCATAGATTGCTAGATACCCCAAACGCAGTCGATCCTCTCGAGGCCATGAGCCACACACCTTGCACACCTCAGTTAATTCTTCAATACTTGGCCCCCGGTCAATAGATACTCCCAACTTCTCCCAAAATGCTCTCATTTCATATGTTACCTCAACCAAAGGATTCTCCAGATTCTTCACATACTCACAATTCAAACCAGTGATGCTTTCAAACTCATTCAAAGAGAACCTTACTGGATGAACGCCTATAAGACTCCAAATCTCAAATATCTTCTTGCACTCAAGCTGAAAACCCAACATATAGTGCACCAGCCTTGAAGCCCATCCAAACTCCATTTCATGGAACTTTAAGAACACACCCAATCTCGAGTTCTTGAGCTCATCCCATTCTTCTGCCTTGAGTGCTTCTCTAAGAGCAGGAAAGAGCTTGTTGTCATCATTGTATTAGTTAATGCTCCTTACTGGATACGGCTCCTGCCCAAGTGTATACAGCCTCCGCGGAAACTCAAGTTCACCCATTTTGAAACCTGAAACAAAAAAAAACAAAAACACTCTGATAAGTCTTCAATTCAACATACAAATCTACAGGAGATAAGTCTACAATTTGACATAGAATTCTAAACAAGAAGTCTACAATTCAACTTCAAAGTCTACACGAGAAGTCTACAATTCAACTTCGAAGTCTACACAAGAAGTCTACAATTCAACTTCGAAGTCTACACGAGAAGTCTACAATTCAACTTCGAAGTCTACACGAGAAGTCTACAATCTAACTTTGAAGTCTACATGTGAAGTCTATAAGTCTTTCCGTGAGTCTACATGCAAAGTCTACAATTCTACATAGAAGTCTACAAGGAAAGTCTACAATTCACTACAAGCAAAGTCTACAATTCAAAACAAGACTCACGGAAAGCAAAGTGATGTGTAAGAGAAGATGCACCGCCGTTCGTTCCCTGGCTCAGATCTGAAACAAAAAAAACAGTTAAAAGTTAATAACCACAAACAAAAAAGAAAGTTAAGGCATATTGAGATAATTTAGGTTTGTACCTTTTGTCGCCGGAGAGATAAAGTGCTCGTTCGTCGGAGAGAGTAGAAACCGTGAGACTGACTGGAAGTAAAGAGATTGACAAAAGAAGAACCACCTTTCGTTCGCCGTCGAGAGGTAAACCACCGTTCGCCGCTCAGATCTGAAACAAAAATAATGAAGGCGGTTACTTTATGGACCGAGATTAAACGAGAGGCAGGAAACCGAACATGATAACTTACAGAGAGACGGAGTGGAAGAGATGATACAGAGAGACGGAGTGGAAAGCGTCGAGTTTAAGCGGTGTCGAAGAGGGTCCGCCGGAAATCGGAGAGCTGAAAACGGAGTCGTCGCTTTTTCGCCGGAAATCGCCCCTAAATCGCCTCCCTGTTACGCCGCGTAATTAGGGTTTTTTTACCAGAAACCCCCCCCCCCCCCCNATATTAAATATCTAAATATAGAAAAAATAAACTTCTCAACATTAGTGTGTCAAAAAAAACAAAAAAAAATTAAAATCAAATATCTAACCCTAATATATGAATCTAACCCTAAAAGACAAAGCATGTTATACCATTTTGTTGGGAAACCATAACACATTATCTTTCACATGGTTACCAATTCAATATAAATTCTATTAAATTTCCCACTTATATGAAATTTTAATTTATATATTTCATACTAATCTTTATATTGATGATTTATTTAAAAACTTCCCAAAAATTATTTTTATACATTTTTAAAATTAAATTATAAGATCAACTGACGATGTAGGCTATAGAATACGTCTACAAAGTAGAATTCTAAGGAGGTCTACAAATGTGTAGACTTCTCTCTATTATGTGTAGACTTTCAAAGGACAGAACCGTAAAATAACTGTCTGTTTTTTTGTTTGGTCACAAGGGTTAAGTAGTAACTTCACAACCCCTTTAGGTTGGTTTTGCATTTGACTCAATAAGGGGTACACCTTTAGGGTTGAAATGAAATTTTAGGTTGGTTTTGGCAATTTCCCCTAGAATTTATGACATTACATTATTCAATCATTAATAACATTCATTAGATTCACTAATAACATTTATTGGGCTTACTAGAAATTTTTATTGGGCTAATAAAAATTAGATGATCCACTGAATTTATAGATATTATAATAAAATACATGTTTAAATTAAACTTATATAATTTAATATTGTAATAGTATAAACTAATTATTTATATATTTTTGATGTTAACTTTAAAATTATATAGTTTATTTTTAAAAATAACAAAATCATCATTTTCTAACAATAATCAATCTATACTATATAATAATTAATCATCATTTTCGATATACATACCTTATATAATATATACCAATTTAGAAGTAAAAAAATGTTTATATAAAAATAAATGAAAACAAATACCCGCGCGGTTGCGCGGGTTAAGATCTAGTTTATTTTTAAGTTAGAATGAAGATTCAAATAGTTAACGACCATTTGTTCACAGAACAATTCCACGTAATAATTATCAAAAATAAATAAAAACCATCAGCAATCATTAGTGGGTCATATCTTCTAAAAAAAGAAAACATCATGCTCACTGTAATGAGAAAATGATCATTAAAATCATGAACTTTCAAATTAAAACAAAAAAATCTCTAAATCACGTTTGCGCCAAAAAAGTTTTCAACTTTTAAATATTAGCTGTTTTAACTCTTATATTTTATTGATATGGCCATTTAAGAAACCTGAATAGTCAACTGTTAAACTCGATAACAAAACAGATTATATTAATTATCTGAACGACATAGTTTTTAAAAGTAATTAAACATTAATCAAATATTGTCATTTTACTTTTGTTAACACTTAAAGCATCTTATTCGAGAAACCAAAACCTTAAATCAACTTTATCTTCTTCACCTCAAGTCAGGAAGATGAAGTTGATTTTGGACTCTAATTTCACGAAAGAGATTCTTTAAATATTTAAAGAAGCAAAATAACATTGTTTAGCTGATTTTTTAAAACGACATCGTTTACAGAGTTAACATACATCTATTTTTATAATCGCGTTTAAGTGTTGACTGTTCGGGTTTCTTAAATGACCGAGTCAACAAAATATGAGAGTTAAAATGACCAATATTTGAAAGTTGAAGATTTTTTTGGTTCAAACACGGATATGAGTTTTTTTGCTTTAATTTGATAGTTCGGGGTTTTAATGGTTGTTTTCGCCTACAATAATCTTCAGCTAATAATAAAACAATAAAATATGTACAAAATCTAAAATTGAAGCTATACAAACAGCTAAGGTAGATTATTAATTTTCCATGAACATATTAAAACAGTTGTTACACATATTGAAAATTAATAAATTTAACACAATAAGTGCATTTCACACAAAAATTTTGAGAAAAAACGACTAAGTATGTTGCTACTACGAGACATATTAAGGAACGACAAATCTCACAACTGTAAAAACAAGAGAATACTACATGTTAAGTCACTTTATGACTTTATATAGCACAATAAGTAACTTTATAACACTTTTTGAGTGTCTAAATACCATTCTACCCTCTAAAGGTCTAACTTTTTTGCTTTTTATTTCTTTTTTGATTTTGTATTTTTTTCCCATGGCTAAAGCTGCGGCTCATAGATTGGTAAGGTCATGGCCTTGCAGAGCAAAGACAACGGAGACGAAGATGAGGAAGACGAGGATGAAGATCTAAGCCTCAGATTCGCGCCTACTTCTCTGAAACCTACTCGTCACTCGCTTTCTTCTTTGTCCTCAACTGGAAGCAACAGAGATAGTAAACCACCGGCTGTTTCCTTCCTTCCCCACAACAGATCGCCGTCGCCTCCGGTGAATTCCGTATCCCTGATTGTAAAATTAGCTTTGACCAGTTTGATTTTGATTTGAATATAATTATGAGCTTTGATTTGTTTCTTGTTTGGTATGGTTTGATTAGTTAGCGAGGAACTTCGTGGAGCAAGTGCCTTCGGTGCGTTCCGCTTTGCAGGAAGGCCGTCGCTATCGTCGGCTAGATCCACGACTCCTACTCCTAATCTTATGCCTCCAAGCTGGGTGTCGGTGAAAGCTCCGAATGCTATTCCTCCACTTGATCCGCCAACTAGCAGCAGAGATAAAAGGTTGTTGCATTTTCAGTTTTGAAACTTCTCTGACCATTGGAGCAAGATAAAACGTCAATTTAAAGTATATTCAGCTGGAAAAATGTAGAATTGAGTTGGATAGATGGTTTTAGAAATAGTCAAAACCTTATAACTAAGCTTGATATAGAAGTTTATAAGAACTGGTCCAAGGCCTCCTTGCTCAAAGAGAGTGAGAGTGATTGCCGCTTTCATCTAATTTCCAGATTTGTAATGTTCATAGGTTTTTGCTGATTTACCATCAGTGAATTGAAAAGAAAAGGGTGATCAGAGGGAAGCTTCAGCTCTTCATGATGAAGTATGTGATGGTTTCTGGTCGATTTACTTTGTGTTTGCATATTGGAAACTACAGTCAAATCAGAATTTGTGCGTGAGTCATAAGATTTCTTGACTTGAGGCTAATTAGATTTTAACTGCAGCTGGATATGCTACAAGAGGAGAATGAGGTTGTACTGGAGAAGGTTTGATATCTCTCTTGGAAACTTTATTTAAATAGTAAAGATGTTCACCTTCGTTATGCTACAAGAGGAGAATGAGGTTGTACATGTGTACGCCTCTAAACACCTGATATGATGTACATGTGTACATGAAATTATTTAAAGAATTTATGTACATGTGAATTTTTATTTTGGTGTACATGGATAAAAATGGATTTTGCGTACATGTGAATTTATATGTTGGTGTACATGTAAATAATGCAAGAACGGTAAGAGAACGGTGCATGAAAATGTGTAGGTATACATATGTATGTCTACAGCCGCAACAAGTCTCTGATTTTCTAAAAAAAAACATTTTTGGGCAACTGAAACTTCATTAATAGGATAAGGGTTTATGGGATTCAATGGACTGGGCCAGAATGCAAAGTAGTTTTAGCATATAAGTCTGCAGGGCCATTGTAATATCTCTGATTTTCTAAAATATGAGAGACATTTCTTCTTTCCAACAGCTCATATAAGTATGAAAATTCTGATCAAACCTTTATTATTGAGTACAGAATATGCAAAGGTGTATGTGTGTAACCACAATACTTCTCTAGTTTCTTAAAATATGAAAGACATTTTTTATATTGTCTCTATTTATGTGTGTACATATGTACGTTTATGTGTACAAAATGTTGTTGTCCATATGTACAAGATTGTACATTTTTGGTGTACACATATACAAATGTATTTTCTAAAATATGAGAGACATTTCTTCTTTCCAACAGCTCATATGTGTGAAAATTCTGATCAAACCTTTATTATTGAGTATAGAATATGCAAAGGTGTATGTGTGTAACCACAATACTTCTCTAGTTTCTTAAAATATGAAAGACATTTTTTATATTGTCTCTATTTATGTGTGTACATATGTATTTTTATGTGTACAAAATGTTGTTGTCCATATGTACAAGATTGTACATTTTTGGTGTACACATATACAAATGTATTTATATGATATAAATTTTTTGCATTATCTTTAGTAATATGTGTGTACATATGTACAATAGTTATTGTGTACAAAATGTTTTTGTATGTATGTACAATAATCTTTTACAATTTTGATGTACATATATACTATTTTTTTAAAAAAATGATGCTGATTGTGTTGAACACAAAAAGAACTCACCCTTTTTCTTCTTCTTTCCTTGATCCCAGGAACTTCACTGCATAACAATTATATTGTTCTCTGTGTTAAACATCAGACTTTTAAGCGTCTAAATATAATTGAATTTCTACATAAGAACTTACCACATTTGCAGTTAAGAATATTAAGAGGTCAATATCACATTGCTCAAACATATGCAAAAAAAATATATCTTTAAATGTAAGTCAAGAAGATAAGAAATTTTGAGTTAAAATTCTCTTGCGATACATGTACCTCACCTCGGCGTTTTCTCTTGTATCTCTGTCTCCTCTTCCACCACTGGATTCCCTAATTTTGTTTTCTCAGGCCAGATTTGTTGTTCCTTGAGAAACCCGATAAGTAATGTCATCCGGATCTCCGACTGTCCATCATCATCCAACGGAAGCATAGCCGGAATCATAAAGGAGTAGAAGAATCCGATCTTGATTTCTATCGAGGAAAACCGAAGAAGCAGGAAGTAGGCGAGAAAGCCATTGAGATCTTGCCACGGGAAAATGACATAGAGAACCTAGAGAACAAGACGAGCATGGTCGCCGTAGATATGAAACATATGGTCGCCGGAGATTTGAAGATTTGAAGAGAAACCAAGAACGAAAGCACCAACAGAGCCAGTTCCCATCAACATCACTCTCTAAAATCAACTCCACGAATCTCAGATTTTTTTGGCTCTGGTGGAGAACACCACCACCACTTTCCATTTCCGGTGAATATTCATAAATCTCTGTTTTCTGGGTTTCTCGAGTTATTATTATCAGAAGAGAATGAAGGAGGAGCTCAAGTCATCGAAAATTCAGATCTCTAACATCGAAAATCTAGAGGAGGTGATGAAGAATAAATCTAGCTAGTGGGAACAAATTAGTTTTACAAAAAAATAAAATAAAATAAACAAGAAGGAAGAAGACGAAGAAGAAATACAATGGGAGCATAATATATTTTTCCTAAGTCGCTAGATATGCTGTGATTAAGAACTATAATAAAAAGTTAAGTTAATAAAAAAAGAAAGAAGGATAGTATTCGAATTTTGTATACTTAATATGTGTGGTTTCTTGTGATAAAGTGCTCTAGTAGCAACAAGTGACCTGTTATGATATTAGTAAGATAAAAAGTGACCTCAAATGTAATATTCTCTAAAAACAAAGCTTCGTTTAGTTTAAAGATCCTACCAAAAAAGATGTGAGCCTTTCTTGAAGCCATTCACCAAGATAGTTACCAAAGTTGGTGCAACCACTTCTATTTATTTTCATAGCTACATGAGGGAGATGTACCAACAACTCAGCCTAGTACGATATGTGCAGATTCTCTTGCTGCAAACCAATACATGAAACAATCTTGAAGCACACAATGTAAAAGGTATCATTCATTACTTCTATGAAAATGATGTCAAAAATGGTCTCTTTCATTTAAATGTAGCAGCTGGTGGTGGATAAAGAATCAATGTATTTTTAAGGAGTTCTCCTGCTATGTACTGGAATGATGGAAGATGGTGAGTAAATACTCCGCTAATCTTAATTGGCTGTGGACTACACAACAACATAAGACCATCTATCCATGGATTAAGAGTGTCAAGAAAGAGATGATATCTCAAATCTTTGAGGGAGATGAGACCAAGCAACTTTATCATCTTAATGATATGACAAATACATGTGCAAAGTGTGCTATAAGAAAATATTGAAAGGTCCAAAATATAATTAGGTTTTTTGCTTCTTCTTCATTGCCACTTCTATTGGATAGTCGACTGATTTCAGGAAATTAAACACGAAGAACCCTTGCAAGCGAGTACAGTTATCCGCAAGTTCTCTCACACCGTGAAGACAAAAGTCCTCAATCCCCTTTCCAACTGCAACTACGTAACTTCTAATAACTATTTCAAGAATCAGTTAGAGAAGAGTTAAGAAAATGGTTTTCTCACCATGGTATAATTGGCCTTGGCGAAGTTGTTTATGGAGATATGCTCATGATCGAAAAGCTGATGGCAAGTTCCAGTACTGGCTTCATCAATAACATTGGGCTCGAGATCACGATTAAAGCTCTGGGTACATGTTTTCCGGCACCAGTTTCGATATAAAAAAAAATACTTCAGCTTGCTTACCGCCGTATGAAACGTATGTTACATCTCACACTTCTTCATTGACAACTTCATCTGATTTCACTTCTTTTTTTTTATTTTTTTATTGTTGATTTCCTAAGAAAGTTTTTGCCCCAGCGGCCCAGCCACCGTAAAGCTTAGGATTTTTGTCCCATCTTCACATTCTCTGCCGTGTACCTAAGGTGTTTTTGTAGTATTTCCCCGCTTCAGGTTTGAGTAAACTTGCTAAATAGTTTCATATTTACATATCATGTTTCTGGAATTTTTGTAGATGACATTAGGCCTCTCGAGTACACATGCTTCGGAGAAGTGCGGAATTTTGGAGCTGTAAAACGTGACGGTATCGTGGAGCTTTACGGACACGAGATATAATCCTGAGTGTATTATGTATATGAAAACGTAAATAGACGCATATTGCCATTTTTTATTGTGATGAAATACATAGAAGGATGATCTCTAAAGGTAGCTTCTTTTTCCAACTTTTAAGACTATTTTAAATAGCCTCTGTAAACCTTCTTTATTGATGTCTGAATAGGCAAAGTCATAGATGAAGATTGCAAAGGGTGATGCATATGATCACGAAAATATGATTAGATGAGTTCAGCAAGAGTTGCTACTCGCTACAAAACAGGGTTTGATTTGATCAAAAAGTTAGTGATGAGATAAACCAGATCAAGAATAAGATTACTGGAGTCCTTGATAGATAATTGGAATGGATCAAGTTTGTAACGCTCTGCCCCCGAATAGATGAGTGGTGACTGGCCGACAAAAAAAAAAGATGAGTGGTGACTAAGCTAATGCTGATTTTGTATTGTATTTCCTTTACATACAACTTGAGACTTTTAAATTGATCCGTTGTATGGCTGCTTCCATTACTATCAAATGTTTTTTACAAAAACAGAGGATATTCTAAAGTAAAGGAAATTGATGTAGTTTCATGTAATTATGAAACTTAAAGTTATGATGTAATCTGATGTAACACAAACTATATATGAAATAACTTATACCTGTATTTACGTAAAGAAAAATTGCAAATAAATAGTGATATAGTACCTAAATGATAACTTCAAATATATGTAACTACAATGAATTGTATATATTTTCTAAATATTTCAGGTCATATGAATAATTTGTCTTTATAAAGTTAATTTTTTTTTTATTCTCATCATGATTGACATATCATCAAAAGAGTTGGTCTATAATTTTAATTCATCACTATAACTTTTAATAATTTATTAGTTTTTTTTGTCAATTATTTATTAGCTAATTCCAAATTTCTCATCATTTTATGCTGTAAACCAACTAAATTATTAAAATATCTACTAATTCACAGAATATATTTAATTAATAATTTATTTCTAAACTAACAAAAGATTTGATATATATCAATTTAAAGAATATCTGAAACACACAACAAAGTATAATCTAAACTACATAAATTTCAAAAAAAAAAAATCACAAAAACAAAAACAAAAATCAGTTTATGATATTGTTTCTTCACGTTTCATCAAATGAAAATAGAAAAGTGAACCTCACGGAATAAATTGGTCATGAAGATCGAGGTCAGAAAAAATTAAAATAACAATGAAGAATCATATAACCAAACGGTATATATAATAGATTAATAACAGTTTCTCAACAAAATATAACAAATAATACAACAAGGTTTAGTGAAAATATATAATATAATTTGAGGTTAAAAGTTTTAAAAATAATAATTAACCTAACATATATTATAATAAATTAATGAAAAAATATTGCCAGTTATCTGAATTATCGGTCACTACATGGTCAACCATGTTGAATAAACAAATGCACACTCAACTACACAAAGTATATGATATACATGATAAAATTCTGA